CTCTTATTATGTAGGACTAGAGGCCCATTGCACGAATTTCTTCGTGCAATAGGTCTTCCTTCCCCTGGCTGCCGGCATCAGTTTTCCTCCTGCACCCAGGACCCAGGCCTTGGCTCCGACCGCAGCAGAGAAGCCAAGCCTCTTCAGTCTTCAGTCTTCAGTCGTCTTCGGTCTTCAGTCTTCACTAGGGCCAGAGCCTTCAGTCTTCACTCTGTGCCTGCATATGCAAATTAACTGTCATCTTTGTTGGGTTAATTTGCATAGTCATCCTGATTGGCTGGTGGGCATAGCAGAGTGACACCAATTTGCATGTTTCTCTTTTATTAGTGTAGGTTATTACGTCAGCCATGACCGGCAGATTGAAGTATTCAGTAACTGTTTATAGAATTGTGTTTTGTTTTTGCTTCGGGTTTTCAGAGTTTTATTGTAAAATATAAAACAGAAACCCCACAAAACAAATGCACAGCTTAATAATCTAAGGTGAACAGACATGTAACCATCATTCAGGTCAAGAAACAATGGACACCTACCCTGGAAGCCTCCAGGAGTCCCTTTCTATCCACAAGCCTTTCCTTTTCCCCAAAAGTAATCACTATTCTGACTTTTATAAAAATCACCAAAGAGGAACTTTGTATTTTGGTTTGAGACTAAGAGATAAAAAGCAATCAATAGAATTGATTGGTTTTCATTTTAGTTAATAACTCACAGTCCTAGTGAAGGACTCCACTCTTATAAGAGTAATCCTTATGTGAATCGTGTGATTTACAGCGCAGTTCTGCATCTGCTTTCTGCGACTCCTGTTCAGCCCGACTGAGCTTTCACTTTTTGTTCCGACTGATACATGTACGTCTGACCACTCCAGCGGCCTTGCTAACAGGACAGACAGTGACTCCTATAGCTCCCCTCCCTGGGGCGCTGCATTGACCACACTACCTGGGCAAAGATTGCTCTCCCAGAGGGGTGATGGGGGAAGGCTGAGGGCTGTACTGTCATCCCACCATCCTCTGTCGAGAGCCACCGTCATCACACCATGGAATGACTGACTGGGTGAGCGTGCTTTCATACCTCAGTCTCTGGAAACAATGACAGGGGCTCTGAAACCAGTTTGAAACCTAAACATCGTGGCTTGACTTTTTCTAAACTGGTATCTGTGGGTAGGTTAAAATGATCAAGTTTTAATTTCCAACTATTTCTCTGTTGGACCAGAATGAGGCAGTGGAAATTCATTATAATGCAGCGTTTCCCAACGTATGAGATACATTCCACCTGGGGTTTGTAAGATGATTCTACATGGTACACAAATGCACACGTTTTAGTTAAGAGTGTATTTGTTTGAGTTTAGTAACGTATTTTAAGAATTGTGTAGTTATTTACAGTTATCTTTTATTTGGGATAAGTAAGAAAAATGTGTCAATTTGAATTCTTGTTACGCAAATAATGATATAGGTGCTCTTAGAGGACTCAAGTTGGGAAGCACTGTTAGGTTACATTCCTCAAGGAGAAATTATAGCAGCAGAGAATGCCAATGCTGGAGGAAACCTTGGAGGCTATCCAATTCAGTTTACTTTTTTATTTACTTATTCATTCAATAAATATTTATTGGACACTTACTAATTATAAGGGTCTTGGCAGAACTGCAGTGAATCAGATAGGGACAGTCTAGTGAGAGAGACAGACATTAAATATATACCCAGTAAAGTAATGGTAATTATGATTGGTGCTGTGAAGAAATAAAACATGTATGAAGCTATTAATATCAGGATGCTTGAATGAAATCTTAAAGGATTAGGAAAAGTTATCCAGTCAAAACAGGTCTTAGGGATGGAGTTGGAGGCAGGTGGTGGGAAAAGAGGAGAGTGTGTGAGACAATGAGAGGGCAGTGTAGCTGGAATACAGAAGACCAACTTTCCTCATTGTGCAGGCATCTGTGTAGATCACCTGTGGTAGCTAATTCAATCAGGACCAGCCCAGAGGTAAAGTAACTTGACATTGGCCACACATTCTAAGAGCAGCAGGGCCAAGGCCTCAATCCATTCTCCTTTTTAAAATATTTGTATTGATTTCAGAGAGGAAGGAGGAGGGAGGGAAAGATAGAAAAATCAATGATGAGAATCATTGATTAACTGCTTCTTGCATTCCCTACACTGGGGATCAAGCCTCCAACCTGGGCATGTGCCCTGACCAGGAATCGAACTATGAACTCCTGGTTCACAGTTGGACACTCAACCACTGAGCCACGCCAGCCGGGCTCAATCCATTATTTTATGGGTTCATACACTCACCACATACTTACATAGTGTCCTGTGTATAAGTCCTGTTCTGTGTGCTGAGGACCTTACCTGAAACAAAACAGACAAAAGTCCTGCCACACAGAGCCTATATTCTGATTTGGTGGAGACAGTCAATAAACAAACAAGTCAATACAAGCATGCCAGTGGGAGAGAAGTGGTTTAGAGAAAAGTGATGAGGGATGATGAGTTGAGAGGGAAATCCATATTTTGTATGAGTTACCCTCTTGATGATGTAAGCAAGGACCTCAAGGAAGTTGAGACTAACCAGGTCCCTTGACTTCACTGAGGGCTTTTTCTACCACTCCAGGCTACTCACTGGGATTCAGACCACTTACCCTCTACCTTGTGGTAAGAGCAGATTCAGCTCCTTTCGTTCTAACTATATGCTGACAGATAAGACACTTTAATAGAAAATTCGGTCTCCTAGGTATGACCCAGGGCCGGAGGGGAGGGATCTATCAGAAGAAATTTTTCCTATAAGTGTTAAATCATTTGAGGTTTCTAGATCATCTCATGGGCATTCAGGGTATGCGCCCATTTCAAAAAATATGACCATCTCTGGTTCTCATAAGCCCGGAGTGGGACCTATGAATCAGAAGGAAGGCTTCACCCTGAGCACACAGTGACCCACCAAATACGCTTTCCTCACAATACACGAGGACAGCTTATCTCTTCCCAGCTGCCTTTTCAATGTACCAGTCTTTACTCAGACATGCTAAAACTATGCTTTTTTCCTTGACATTTGGAAAAGTTTATTTGTGAATAGGCACCAGCACATGCATATTGAGTTTTACTTGGTGATGATTTTTAAATTTCTATAGTGCTTCTGACTGAGTTTAACAGCCTATTGATTATTCTGGGCAAACCTAAAAATGGGGGGGGGTGGAGGGGGGAATTAAAAAAAAAACAACACATTGAATTCAATCACCCAAATATATTGGGAAACACAGGCGAAATTTTATCCCTTAAAGACCTGAAATTTGCTGACCAGCAAATAAATAATTCTGAGCCCCTCTGATGTCTAGAGTCCCTAAGTAACAAGGGAGCTTTATGAATGGTTTGTAACAAGACTGGAGACACCAGGTTCTGTGGAAGTGCAGCACAACCTTGGCTGTGGGGGGTGCCGGTTCCCAGAAACACTGAGTGCCCTAAAAGTGGGGCAGTGAGAGGCTGTGGGTGTACTACCTCTTCTCAGGCCCATGGCAAAGCCAGAGGATAGATTCTTGATCCCTTCTTCCAAACGTTTCTGAGGAACAAATGCTGCCCCATTACTGATGGCCTGGGAACCTACACTGGGAACCCCTACGTCAACAGCACGAGATGCAGAATCCTCACCAATCCCCTCTGCTTACCACCTTTCCTTTCCTGTGGAATTGCCTAATAATGAGGCCCCAGATAGAGATAAGACCACAGGGTGTTGATGGGGAAGGCAGGAAGGAAGAAGGGTAGAGACAAAGAGGTAATTTTGGAATCTGAGATCAACCAAGAGAAGGTAGGCCCTCATGAATAGAATAATGACCATAAGATTGAAAAGAAGAACTGGACGGTGGGGAAGCAATGAACAGAAGAGGTGCCAAGGACAAAATCCACAAAAGCCTTTCAGAAGCCCAGACTATTTGTGTCACAAAACACCAAATCGCAATGTTGTCTGTGTGCAGCAGGGGCTTTGGGGGTGTGACCTGGCTGTCACACAAAGTGCTGTCTGAAACTGCCCATGCTTAGTATGCCAATAGCTATGAAGCCGAGTCTGTTTAATGTGAAACAATGGTCAGTCCATATTACTCATTTAACTGAAGGCCTAGGTATCCAAGTATGGTATTTAGACAGTATGAGAAGTTTGCTGTGGTGGTATCTAAGCTGTATTTAGACTTTTATTTGGCCTCTATCAACTTTTTGAATTGTCCGGAGCATTATCAAACTCTGGCATCATTTGTGGTCTTTGTGGCATAGATTGTCTGTCAAAGGCAGCTAGTAAACGATTCCAAGTAAGTAGCTGACTTGGGTGTTTTTTGTTTTTTTCCCTGATCTGGTTGTTACCTATTGTACTCAATGAAATTCTAGCATGCTGTCATAATAGGGACATTTAGGAGAAAGAAACAGTTTTATTTAATTAAATTCAAAATCTGTTAGAAACTAAGTTCACAGTGGGCATAATTAGGAATCATGAAACCCTTAAGTGGACAATAATCACATATATCATTTATTTCAGTCCCAATAACATTATAGTATTTCCTAGAAATCTGTCATTTCCCCTCCACAAATATTACATTAGTTAATTTTGGTTACACACCTTTCAATTAAATGTATTCAATGTGTTTGGGGGTAACAAAACATGCCCACAATGAAAGTACTACAAAACTTTATTTTTGTTAAATTTCTCATCTAAGCATGTCAAACTCAAAGGCTAACACGAGCCAAATAAACAAGGTTTAAGTTTATGTGGGCCGCAAAAAAACAGCTTCAATTTTCATGGAAACATGGGTTTATTTCAATAGAGACATGCTGAATACAAAGGGCTGAAATAAATGAGTAATCATTAATGAATATTTGTTGTGGGCCACAAGTTTGACATGCTTGCTCCAGTCCATTCTGAATCCTGCTGTCAGTACTATGTACAAAATTTAAAAAAGAAATATGCTGTTTTAAATTTATTGCTGGTGGTTTTCATTATATTTCAAAAAATCAAATCAATGCACTTGATTTCTTGCATTACTTAATATTTTCCAGGAATTGTTTAATCCAGGAAAGAAGAATATCCAATTCATTGATGGCTTTGTAGATTCCTCTGTTTCCAATCTGCAGATAAAGTAGAGATATAAAAGCAGAAATCTCGTCGATTTAAAAAAATACAGTATTCAACAGCAAGGATTTGGAATACTTACCCTATAAAATGTTCTTTTCATCCTGGTAATGGATTTCATCTCTCTAGCTGATGAAGCACAGGAAATCTAAGAAATCGACAGTAAATACAGATAATATTGTCGAAGAGGCACTAATAGTACTTTCATTTATTCAGAAAACACTTATTGAGTAGGTATTGTGTTCTGGGCATGGATACGCACTGGAAATAAATAATACACAGTCTCTGTCCTCACAGAGCATACAGTTTCATGGTGGAGGCAGATGATAGATAAGAAAAGAAACAAAAATTAAAGTTTACAAGTTACAATGAAGGCTGAGTTTGTAAGGCACGAGACTCTGTGAGAGGGATTTATAGGAATGACCGACTTTCAATTGGTCAGGGAGGGCTCTTTTGAAGAATGATATTTAAATTAAGATCTGAAAAATGAAAAGGAACCAGTTATTTTAGAAGCTAAAGAAAGATGGAGGTGGTTGGAGAAGATGCACAGGAGAGAATTATTCAGGCAGAGGGAAAGGTGTGCAAAGGCTCTGAGGCAGGAAAGACTAAGTGCTTTCTAGAAACTGAAAGAAAAAAGGTTGGCTGGAGCAACTGAACAAGAGAGATGTGGGTAGCATGTGAGATGTGGGAGGACAAAAGAGTTTTACTTTTTTAAAAATTACCATGGCTGTTATGCTCATTGCATTGGACAATATTCAGGGGTCAATTGCCAGGAGAAAGCACTAAGAAATTAATATTAATTTCTAAATTAGGAGAAGGAGGAGGCTGATGATTTATAGCCTGGCTGATAAAGACTGCCAGTCTCCCTTGAGGAGATGAATTTTCAAATCCTATCTGAGCACAGGACTGCCTAGGAGATAAGGAGGAAGAAATTAACTTCACCTTCTATTCTCCCACAAATTTCCATACAGTTAATTAGAGAAAGGGAAAGAAAAAGGTGAAAATACATAATTTATCTATTTAGTTTTTGCCCATAAAAATCTTAGCTCTAGAATAGACCAAGGAGATTACAAGGCCAAGTCTTCTCAATTTATAGAAAAGAAAACCAAGCTCCAGGTGTGTAAGTCACTCACCCAAGGTATCACAAGAGTAGTGGTAAAATAGTGTCGGGGGCATCAATAAAGATAACAGTTAAAACTCAGGAAGTGGAAGCAGCTAAATGACAACACCTATTACAACAAATGAAACATGGCCAACAGGTCCTGTTGGTTGACCAAAATACAAAGAGGAGAAGCGGAGAGAAGAGGCATCATTCAGGCTCCTTTCCTATCAAGAGAAAATAACTGAAATGATTTGACAGTTATATCCTGAATGCTGTTTCAGGGCTTAAAAGTGATCATGGTGTCACGACTCTGCATAGATGGGGACTCTACCTTCCGGTCAGACCTTGCTTAGAGGGAAGGGATTTGATGATGAGGCACAGAAGAACTGCAGACATGAATGTTCTGGTTAAGGTGCAGTTTATGGGCTTCACAAGCACAGGATTGGACATCCCTGTGATAAGAGCCCTGAATTAAGAAGAGGACATTTCAGCTCAAACCAATCCTATGAGGCCAAGGCAAAGCATGACAGATCCAGGACAGTGGTAGCCAACGTCAGAGAATATAATCAGAAAGAATTCACTCACTCATTAAGCATTCCTAAAGTGCCTACTATTTTTTGGGCCATCTGCTAGGTACTAAAGACATAATGATGAGCAAGATAGTGTTAGTAGATAAAATAGTTGTAGGTAGAAAAATTAACAAAGCGCAAGTTTACTGTTAGGAGGTAAAAACTCGGCAGTTTCCGGAGCTCTCATCTTTATCCAATTCCCCTTCAAGTGAAGACAGAAATACTAAGAAAATGGTTAGGTAAAAATAGTCAACATGTAATATGTTAGTGTTATATGTCAGGCACTAATCTGAAGGCTTTAGTTGTATGAATTCATTCAGTCCTCACAACAACCCTATGAGGTAGGTACTATTATTATCCTCATTTTACGGATTGGGAAGCTGAAGCATGGAAGTTAATATTCTGCCTATGTTCATGCATAGTAAGGGAAAGAGCTGAGATCTGAACCCAAATATTCTGACTCCAGAGTCTTTAATTAAAGACACTATATTAAACTCAAAAAAATAAATAAACAGCATGACTTGGAAAAAATATTCCAACTAAGCCAATCTCTTGAAAACTTTCAAAATCCAGTTTCAAAGAGAGATTAGCTCAAAGACCTCTGCTCCATATTACACCAGGGAAATGTCAGAAATGGCTTTAAGAGACTAAGCTGATTGGCAGAGAAAGGTTTCAACCTGAAAATTTATTTATAATAAATAAAAGAAGAAACCCTGTGGGGTGTGTGTGTGTGTGTGTGTGTGTGTGTGTGTGTGTGTGTGTTGTTTTCTTTGTTCATTTGCTTTTCAGATTGGAACTACAAAAGAAAATTCTAAAAATAGCAAGCCTAGTTTCAGCCACATTAGTAGGTATGGAGATAATTTAAAGAAGTCTGCCCATTATCTTATAAATGAATAGTTTGGTCAGATACAAGTCCTTCTAGCCTAAAATTATCTAACATAAAAGTAGTAGGCCCAACTCTTGCAATTAGAAAAAAAAAAAAACTCAATAAAAAAGAAGAGAAGTAATACTTGCCTAATTCCAAGGCACTATATCAAAGTTCTTACATGAAAGGATTAGCCACAAAGCACAGAAGATGCAAGTTACAGGGCGCAATATCAAATACGCATATGTTAGGATTTGAAGATTTAACACTGAAAGTGGGAGACCAAAGAAGCCAACCAAATCCTGGACATTACAGAAGTTAAATATCATTAAGGCATTCCTGTGACTATATCCTCTGCCCAGAAAACTTTGATCTGCAGTGCATCCCACAGCAGGGTGGCAAGTACAAAGAGGCTTCTGACCTTGCTCCATCTAAGGCATATGCTACCCTAAGTAGAATAAGAGAGTAGAAAATGAGAAAAACAAGGTTTGGAAATAAATAAATAAATAAATAAATAAATAACAGACTTACTAGTGCCAGTGTTGCCACTAGCGCTGTACTGGTTTATGGGATTCTTTCTGGTGCCTTGAGCTCCATTTATTATAAATGACCCCTAGTAAAGATCTGACCCAACATTATGCCAAGTGAAATAAGTCAGAGAAAGACAAGTACCATATGATTTCACTCGAATGTGGAATCTAATGAAAAAAATTTAACTAACAAACAAAATAGAACAGACTCATAGAGAAGACACTGACAGCTTTCAGAGGGAGTGGGTTGCAGGGTTTGGTGAAAAAGGTGAAGGTATCAAGCAAAAAACAAATAAACTAATAGACTCAGACAACAGTGTGGTGATTACCAGAGGGAAAGGGGATGGGGTGAGGGGAGGTAGAATAAGGTAAAAAGGGAATAAGTGGTGATGAAAGGAGACTTGACTTGAGGTGGTGAGCACAGAATACAATATACAGATGATGTATTTTAGAATTGCAAACCTGAAACCTATATAATTGTATTAACCAGTGTCATCCCAATGAATTCAATAAAAAGAAAAATTAATTTAAGAAAAAGTTCTGACCTAAAAAGTTCTAAATTTTCCTGACGTAAATATGTCCACAGACATAGTAGGACAGCCATATTTTATTGTCATGATTTCAATTGCTTTGCTTAAAAGGAGGATTTTATAAACAAATTGTTTCTTTTATCTTATATTTTAGTGTATAGTTACATTTGCTGGAAACAGGATGTGCAACAAAGGGTAAGTAGTTTTATTGTAAAAATGGCTGAATGATTTGACAAACTCAACCAAAGCAGATATGATCTAGACTAAAGGTAAATTATTAGTAAGGCTAGAATAACTAGGGACCAGATCAAAGAAGGGTGTGAAGTAGTCATAGAATAACAAACACGAGGCCTAACCATTCATCAAGTCAGTACATTTGTATTGCTAGGCATACAGTAGCATCTCCGCCCACATGGCGTTGATTTATAAAATTACCCTACATGATGGAAATTGCCTTGGGGTTCAAGTGATGGTTCATCTATTCAGACAGACAGTGACGAAAAATTACAATACTATGTGATAAATACTGTGGTTTTAAAAATACAACTGCTCTGGGAGACAGAAAAGACGCAATCTGACTGTGGCATCCCGGGAGGCTTCCAGAAGGAAAAAATAAGGGAGTTGCATCTTGCAGGATAACATGGAGTGGAAGGAACAGGGACAAGGGACGAGTAGGCACAGGAAGCATGATGTTCCGAGGCTGGAGAGAGCAGAGGTGATTTAAACACCCTTGAGGTCTCAGCTGAAATCCCTGGACTCAATTATCCATGGCTTGATATCCATTAGCCCTGCTGCAGCACATCCTCCTGTGTGCTCCCTCCACAGCACCTGCCACAACCTTGATGAGCTGAAACCGGCTGAAAGCATTTTCAAGGAGCTCTATGAAGACAGAGATACCTGCCGGTTTTTATTAAATCCCAAGCATCTGGAATAGTGTCCAGCAAATACTAGATACTCAACAAATTTTTGTTTACTAAATGAACCAATGAATGAAATGCAAGCATCAGCTTACTGCTTTGGGACACTAGTTGACTAAGTTTGAAGCATGTCTTAGGAACTTATGAACATTAGAACTTTGTTTGAAACAATTGTATGAACAAGTAATATAGTCCTTAATTGGTGTCCACAGTGTCCTCATGTATTTGAAAAATCATATAAATGTGTATTGTGTATGATAGTTAAAGCAAAAATTAAAAATCCCTCCCCACTGAAAATTCTGAGAAAATGAAATATGGGTGTCAGTGAGTGGACAGCTACACATGTACAGTCTCTCAGAGAAATAAGTGCTCACACTGTGTTCTCACAAAGAGCAACTTCCAATCCTTTCTACAAAAGGAATTTTATTATATTACTAGTGGCCCAGTGCACAAAATTTGTGTACCTGGGGGGGCTGGGAGTTCCCTCAGCCCAGCCTGCACCCTCTCCAATCAGGGACCCCTTGGGGGATGTCTGACTGCCAGGAGTCAGACATCCCTCTCACAATCTGGGACTGCTGGGTCCTAACTGCTCACCTGCCTGCCTGCCTGATTGCCCCTAACCCCTCTGCCTGCCT